ATATTTGATTTTCCATTTCAACCTCCGCATTTAATAAATTCATATGCTATATTAATTAACGGGATTTATTTCACTCGAATTTCGATATATATATTATAGTATTGCCGAGTATTGCAATGAGATTGCATTACAAATGTTTGCGTACTTGTCAAATGTGTGTGAGTGATTGTATTTAATGATAAAGATGATTTGGGCATCTTACCCTCACCCCTAAAACTACACATTTTCATTAAAAATCCATATTCACATTATGCTATCGCGCTGCAACATTAATAAACAAGGTGTCCGTATCTTAAACTGATAAATATGTTCTATCTATGTTATATATTCTACAAACGCATTTTCGTCACATGTCAAAACAAATTGTACAATGTACATTGTACATTAAGTTGGGTCCATGGCCTGGAAATGCCTATGTAATTTACATATAAACGAGTGAGACTCAAACATGTTCTTCTTTTTCCATCGAATATACCAGTGGCGCCACCAATTTTACATATAAGCGCATACAAAATTTTCAATATGGCTGCGCCCATGAGAGAGAAAATTTCGTCTCATTCATTTCCGCCCCATGGTTGGGTCAAATTTTTTGTCGATGTAGCGTACCCCCTCACGGTGTTCTTTGGATCAATTTAAGAATTTTTGCCCAAGAAACCATATGTCTAAAATGAATTTCGAGCCTCCCAATTTTTTTATCAAGATATTTTTCAAAATATTCAAAAATCGACTTGGACATTGCATTTAAAATTCAAAAAAACATTATTTTTTCTCTAGCCAAATGTGTATGCGGGGGTTTTTGGGGTCGAGGAATCCATTTTTGACATTTATTTTGCGATATAACAACGTTTTGATACGATTTCCATACAAAAACTGGCAAAAATGATCGTTTACTTCTTTTTTTTCGATTTTTTTTTTGTTGATGTCGATTTTCTCATCGGATCAAAAAATTATCTATATTATAAAAACGAAATGCCATTCTTTTGTCCTTAGCTCCTCTCACAATTTTCAACCGATCTGAACCAAAATTTATACCCTTATACTTTGGACCGAGATCTAGGTCACCATTAGGTTTTGGACCAAATTGGACTACTCGCTACGGCACGCTCGCTCCGCTCGCTCGGCTAGTGTTCTACAAAGTTGTTTAGAATGATAAGAGAAATTTTTTGGGTCAGCTGCCCTCCAACTCCCCCCACCCCCTAGGGGGTTAGGGGTCGCCGTAGCGAGCGAAGCGAGCGGAGGAAGATCTCTAATACAGTAGCTTTTTTATATGAAATCTGTCACACTAACGCCCTCACTCTATCTTTTGGCGAACTAAACAGAATAAAGTTTAATATAAAAGTAAAGTCTCCATCAGGATATTTTATACAGCCGGTGTCAAGATCAATAAAACTGTTAATAGAATCTGCCATTTTTACGCAATTTTGCGATGTGATTGCCAGATTAAGAATATAAATAAAATAAATGAACGGAATAAACGAACTTAACAGAACAGAATAATTCGCACGAGTGTATGACAAGTATGTAAGACTACCATCACTTACAATGGCAAATAATGTAAAAAACTGCATGATGGCGCCATCTCTATGTGCTCATGAAAATTAGAACAAAAAGTTTGTGTAGAATGTTAGTTGTTTGAAGTTTGAATACGGAATCATTTGTTGTGACGTCTGTCATTTTACGCTCGATAAAGATATACCGTGTAAATTGAACAAAAACCGATTTATTATTTGTATTTGGTGAATTTGTGATGGAAAATAAATTGAAATTACTTTGCACAGTTTGTGTCATCGAAATTAACTGCGAGGACGTTGCATATCACATGGTTTTTCTTCACACAAAATCAGTTGACATTTTTGACTTTTTCGCACCAAAAAAAAATGTTTTAATTGCCTTTGGTGCTCGTTTGGATCGCGAGTTCAATGCCAAGCACATAGAGATGTCGCTCGGAACGTGAAGCTCAAAAAAAATATACAGGTGATATAGAAAGCAAGTGAGGGTAGATGTAAGAGAACAATAACATTACGTTTTGTATCTATCTGTCAAATGTCACACTCACACTTATGAGTTTACGTATGGAGATTTTAACAAAATCATTTCTACAAGATCTACACACTCTACACCCGAGGCTTTTTAAGTTAAATTAAAACGCATATAAATTTATGTTTTTTTTAAATAGAAATTATCTAATGCTGATTGTGCTAACTTCACTTTCAAAACAAAAAAATGAAACAATTTATTAAATTATTTTTCAACAATTTTTGGAATAACATATGCGCTCATTCTCAAACTTGTGAAATAATATCCCATTCTATATATAGATGGCACTGTCTATACGAAGTTCGGCAAACAAAGCATTACGCTTATTGAGCGCATTACACCTCTTGAGCGGAGGCCGGCTAGTGTTCTACAAAGTTGTTTAGAATGATAAGAGAAATTTTTTGGGTCAGCTGCCCTCCAACTCCCCCCACCCCCTAGGGGGTTAGGGGTCATAACCCCTTAACCCCTGATTTTTTTTGTCCTGAAATCCAAAAATTCGGCTTCAGCATGCCAAAAAACCTTTAGAAAGTGTTTTTTCCAGATGCCCTCCGAGCCAATTTTCACAAAATACCCCATAGTCTCATAGTATTTGACCCCAAATCGAGGGATCTTACTTTTTGTGAAAATTGTCTCGGAGGGCATCTTGGCAACACACTTTCTAAAGGTTTTTTGGCATGCTGAAGCCGAATGTTTGGGTTTCAGGTCAAAACAATCAGGGGTTAAGGGGTTATGACCCCTGACCCCCCTAGGGGTTGGGGGGAGTTGGAGGGCAGCTGACCCAAAAAATTTCTCTCATCATTCTGAACAACTTTGTAGAACATAATTTTTTGATCTGATGATAAAATCGACATAAACAGAAAAAAATTGGAAAAAAAAGAAGAAAACGACCATTTTTGCCAGTTTTTGTATGGAAATCGTATCAAAACGTTATTATATCGCAAAATAAATGTCAAAAATGGATTCCCCGACCCAAAAAACGCCCGTATACACATTTTCAATAATTTTTTTTTACATTTAAAATGCACAAAATAGGTCGATTTTTGAGTATTTTGGAAAATATCTTGACAAAAAATGGGCAGGCTCGAAAATGATTTTAGAGGTATGGTTCCTTGGGCAAAAATACTTGTTAGGACCCATAGTACCAGAATCGCGATTTGCCCATGGAGATTTTTTCGGCCCCCTACAATTTGACCCACCCTATTGTACACTGTGACATTCTATATTTGTAGACACACGAAAAAAGTTTATTTTTTAAAAAAAGTCTCAAAATATGGCGCGCTCGACAACGTTCAAAAACGTTCAAGTGTCGAACATCACTTATGTCATGTGTGGCATTGTTCAACGCGCCATAAGTCAAATTCTACAATGGTTACTATATTTATCATTTGTAGAATTACTATGAATTTTCGTAGTAAATTTACAAATGTATTTGAAGTCTACGTGTTTGTAAAATTACTACGGAGATTCATAGTAAATTTACAAAAACGTCCAATTTTCATAATTTGTAAAATTATTATGAAATTTTGTAGTAAATTTACAAATGATGTAAATTGGACGATTTTGTAAATTTACTATGAATTTTTAAGGTAATTTTACAAATATATTCAATATAGGTTTTTGTAAATTTACTATGAAATTTTATAGTAATATTACAAATTTTGTAAAATTAGTATAGTATTTCATAGTAAATTTGCAAAAACGTCTTTTTTCATAATTTGAAGAATTACTATAAAACTTCATAGTATATTTACAAATTTTGTAAAATTACAATGAAATTTTGTAGTAGATTTACAAATGATGAAAATTGGATGGTTTTGTGAATTTAGTATGAAATTTTATAGTAATATTACAAAATCGTCCAATTTTCATCATTTGTAAATTCACTACAAAATTTCATAGTAAATTTACAAAAACGTCCTATCTTCATAATTTGTAAATTTACTATGAAATTTTGTAGTAAATTTACAAATGATGAAAATTGGATGGTTTTGTAAATTTACTATGAATATTCATAGTAATTTTACAAAATTTGTAAATGTACTATGACATTTTATAGTAATTCTACAAAATATGAAAATATGACGATTTTGTAAATTTACTATGAAATACTATACTAATTTTACAAAATTTGTAATATTACTATAAAATTTCATAGTAAATTTACAAAAACCTATATTGAATATATTTGTAAAATTACCTCAAAATTTCATAGTGAATTAACAAAATCGTCCAATTTACATCATTTGTAAATTTACTACAAAATTTCATAGTAATTTTACAAATTATGAAAATTGGAAGTTTTTGTAAATCTACTATGAATCTCCGTATAACAATAGCATAGAAAATTCATTTTGTCTGATTTCGCGGGATCTTTTTCTTAATTCACCCACAGTTAGTTGTTCCATTGGACCAATTTTTCCTACAACCTTTAATGATAGAACGCAGTACACATAGTTTTTCAACTTGTTTGTGTGTAAACAAACAAATGTCAACTGTTAATCTCATGTGTCAGATAAGCGTTCAATTGTAAATTTGTAAAACCGTTCAAAAAAAACCAACGTTCACAGAAAATTGATAGTTTTTCATTGCAATATAAATTTAATAAATTAAAATAAAATTAATGCCCCTGAATTTTCTAAAAACAATTTATTTATTTTTAAACCATTTTTTCATCGTAAATTTTGCAATTATTAATGTAAAAATATAATTATTTATTAAATGAAGTCATCAAGTTTGACATCACAAAAAAGTTTATAAACATACGTATTGCGCCATCTATCGAAATATGAGAATTGTAAATTTCGATAGTGAAAGTCGCTATGCATGAAGTCAAAAAATAACATTATTTGTTTTTTTTTGATGTTTTTTTCTGTTATTTTATTTTTATTTGGAATCATGCTACCAAAAAATTGTGAAAAAGTTGTATTTAAACTGATATATTCATCATTTGTAAATTTACCCTGACTTTTCGTAGTATTTTTACAAAATGATATTGTGACTTTCATTTTGACACATTTTGTAAATTTACTACGAAAATTCAGTGTAAATTTACAAATGACTTACAACACAGTGTTCGTCGGAACATAGCGCCATCTATTGAAATAATCTTAATCTACTTAGACGAACTTTTTTGTGTGTCTATAAATATAGAATGTCACACTGTACATATACATTTACATCGATTGGAATGCTTTATATGCAACTTTGATAATACCATCACGATATGATGAGCATATGAATAATTTCATTAAACTCTCTCTTTTGCCCATTAATTAAAACCAAATTTCAAATGATTGTGTGCCACTACAGAATGTTTTGTGTGCAAATTGCCAAGAATATATAAATGCGTATGCGTGATGTGGCTCGGTATCCGTAAATTTGATATACTACAAAATACCTACTGATTGTTATGGTCGAGAGCAATAGAGTGAGAAATGTTTCTAGGATGAAATCAAGCCGAATTTACGAAAGCAACAAAACCCCGGTGCAAATAAATTCGTGCGTGAATCATACGAATTGCATGTGTATATTTGCGAGTCGCATTATGACACATTATACTTTGATTACTTCACCTGGGTATTGTTGTTTCGTTTTTGGCTCGTTTCACCCACCCTCACGTCATATGAATACATCATTTACGCCAATCATTGGCAGACTTTTACGCGGTGTGGTTGGTATTCCATGAGGGCACTTTGTAGTTTCATCTTCAAATGTAACCATTTTTTCACGAGGCTTCATCGGTGCCATCGTCGAATGCATTTGCTGCTGCTGCTGCTGCTGTTGTTGTTGTTGTTGTTGATGATGTTGGTGTTGCATTTCTTGTATTGGAATCATAATGGTGCCCGTTGATCGGGTATGAGAAAGAATTGACGGAGGGGGTGAACGTCGTTGCTGTGGTGGTGGTGGTGGTGGTTGCTGGTGTATTGGCATCGTTAATGCAATATCACCGACTCCGGCCAAATTAAATTCGCTCACACTTCGCGGCACAAAATATTCGATGTGGTTCTCTAATGGCCCTGCCGAACGCCGCGCCGGCGTATTTCTTTGAAAGGCTAAATTAGACCGCCTTGGCAACGAATTAAATGTTGATGTGTTTGCTGAGTTTGCCAAGTGATCTGCAGGTTTTAGTCAGGATTTTGGTGCAACGGCCACCGTAACAAGTGCAACATCTTCAATTGGCCCAGTTCTGGATGGTAATTGATGCATCAAATGATTATGGTGTGGCATTAAATGTGCAAAACTATTTTGTGCAATGCTTCCACCAACATTTCGTCCCGGTCCGCTGATTGTTGATGCATGCGATTTCTCTTCACTACGCTCTCCACCAAATCGCCGTAGCCATATTTTTATTTCCGACCGGATAAGATTGAAGCACATTGCAACAATTGCCATTCCAATCAATATATATGCGCTGGCCGCTTAGTTAGTTAGTTAAAAGTTAGTTAGTTAGTTAGTTAGGTTAGTTAGTTAGTTAAAATAGTAGCCTTATTAGGGCATGGACAAAGTTTACTGTGGAAGACACTAAACACGGTCGGCTCGCCAATCCGTTGGCACCGCAATGAGCTTGCGGATGGTTCATATGTCGGCTCGCTAATCCGTTGATATAATATAATAAATATACCCTAATAAGGCTACTATTTTAACTAACTAACTACTGTCTTTAGGCAAAAGGAAGGCATTAGATGTTCGTATGTGGTGCATACGAGAGGCCACCCATTGTGTCCGTAGTAAAAGCCTTATTCTAATCTGACTTAAGTTGGCTCTGGAACTAGAAGCTTTATGCATCTTACGACAATCCGGTTTGTGTTAACGTATCTATGATGCATTGATGCCTTTAAGGCCGAAACATACGGCACAATCACTTTGATTGTGTTATGATTCTTTGAGGGCCCAAGGCCAGAAGCTAATGCGTCTCGTTGATCCGTTTTGATTTACTAACCATTTCGTTCTCACAAACCCGGTATTACGACTGACATTTTTAGTCCAAATTCTATGACAACGCCATCTCTTGTTTCCCATCTGTATAAAGTATATATGACATTAACAAGCGGTTCTATCAGTTCAATGTTGGACCGAATAATAGCTGTCATTTTCTTGTTTACATTTTGCAAATTTGAAATTTGTCGTACCTGTTTTGTGTAACATGCTCTTTTTTAAGAAGAATTAAAATGAATAATTGCATATACATCCAAAATGTATATTTCTGTGCATTTCATCACAAATATTTAAAATATTTGTATATTTCTAAATAAATATTGTAGTAAATAGAAGTGAAATTTTCAGCAAAGAAACTGACGTTTTCATATAAATATGCCAACGCAATCCCCGGTTAACCGAGAACGGGTTCGATTCAAACAAACTAACAATGCGTTCATTTCACTCTTGCATAAATATAATTTCACAATTCTTCGATGCAAACGAATCAAAAACTTTATTGAAAATCATTCATCAACAAAGCAAGAATATTCTCACGTGTGTTCTCAATGTTTGTTTCGGTTGTTCACGATTCTGATGGATTTTGAAAACTCAACAAAATGTTTGCCATGTTACCTTTACAAAAAAAATCACTTAGCACAAAAAAGCCGAATATTGCGTTAAACATATATTTTGCTACATGCTACGACAACGCCATCTCTGTTTCCCCATGTGTGTAGAGTATGTTCAATATTGACAAATCATTCAAACGGGTCAATTTTGTACCGCAAAAATAGCTGTCATCGTGAAAATATGTCAACAATATTATTCATTGAAATTTTTGAAATTGACTGTGCCGTGTTTATTTTTTAAAACAATATTCAAATGCATATTTCTGTAAATCTCATTTCAACGTTTTGAAATATTTGTACAATTCCACATGAATAATATTTTAATTTTTTTAAACTGAAATGAAATTTTCAGCATAGAAACAGCTTCTGCTGCAAGACCAAAGATGTCGTTTTCGGGGGAGATTCGTGTGACGTTTTCATATAAAACATATAGCGCATTACTCGGTTAGTTCTCACCAATGAGTCTTTGTTTTTTTCCCTATCCTCGCATATGTGGGTGGCAGCCACCTCACCAATGGCGACCATGTAGAGTAGATTTTGATCTCGTGTGAACAAAGCTCGCTTCCTTTAGTGCGCTGCATTTGTTTCCAACCTTGGCAAAGCAGCGGCTTATGGCCTAGAGGTATGGGGACACATTGCGCAAGCTCCATTGACTTTCATTTTTGTGATGAACTCTTTCTGATATTTCTCTCATTTCGTTCGCCGCTGCGTATTAGTACTTGCCCATGTTATTCGTTCACTCCGTTCGCTCGTAATTGCTTGGTCACCTTTGCGAGCTTCGCTCGCGGCTCCCTCACAATTACTCGCTCACTTCGTTCACTCATTGAATACTCATTCAAATTTCATGTGTTGGGAAGTTTGGTGGCCTCCTCGGGTTCATTTTTCTAATTAACTGTTTTTAATATATCTCTCCTTATAAAGTGTTGAATACACAATTCGAATTTCACGTCCTTGGGTTTTTAAAGCCCCCTCGGGCCCCTCTTTCATCCCCACTTTTCAAAAAGTAAAATAAACAAAATCTGTTTCAAACCGAGGTCCCATATAAAAGTTCCCTGCGCGTATATGAGTTAGTTTTCGAACACTTAAAATCGAAAGAAACTACGTTCGTGTAATTTTCGTCTAAAAATTTAATTTCGTCGCGACGCGTTTTTAAACCTTTTAAATTTGTTTGTGTGTGTGTGTGAAGACTTTAGGCCTGGACCAGGTGAAAGCGATTCCAACGTGGGACAACCAGAGGTATTTCTATTGGATCAACTATACTGAATCGCTTCGTGAGGTAAGTTTGGCACATTTTCACTTTGTTAGGGATTATTAGGGCATGGTGACTCCACTCCTCAGGAAAACCATAATCTCAGTAATTCGTGTCTAACGTCGGCGGCACAATCACTTTGATTGTGTTGTTATTCTATACTGTGACTTCACGACGTAAATTTTCCCTGTTCTCCAGTTATTGTTTACCTAGTTATTTATTTATTATTTATTATATTATATCAACGGATTAGCGAGCCAACATATGAACCATCCGCAAGCTCATTGCGGTGCCAACGGATTGGCGAGCCGACCGTGTTTGGTGTCTTCCACAGTAAACTTTGTCCATGCCCTAATAAGGCTACTATTTTAACTAACTAACTAACTAACCATATTGTGCCGCATATCCTTTTGGCTCCAATTCACCGAAACCAATCGTGCCGAGCGATGTGAAACAGAAGTATAAGCTTTCAAGTACATTCCATGCTTGAATTCGATGAAATAAGGCAGCGCCACCGGTAATATAACAAATTACAATCATGATCGAGATCGGAATTGGCACTCCATTTGAGTGCTGATAGTATGAATAGTTGTATATTTGATTACTGTAATTGTTCTCATAGTTTTGTTTGTCTGTCGATAGTTTTCCAGCTACCAAAGATGTGCTATGAAAACTTTTATCGACGATAGATCCATTGTCATTTCGTCCAATGCCAGTGCTACTGCTACTGTTCGAATTATTTCCGCTACTCTGACCGCTCGTGCTTTCACTTCGACTTCGTTTCGTTCCACATGTACGTAACAAACGAAACAGACATCGCATTATAGTTGATAATCCATCCCCCATGACTGATAAGTAGAACAAAACAAGCGGAATACCAAAGAGCGCATACAGCAAAGCAGCAATACGAGTGTGTGTTTTTATTGATATTCCACCGTAACCTGTAAAACGGACGAGAAAGAGAGCAAAGAATTAGAACAACAATTTTAATTTTCGAATCAATGCCAAGAGGACTTAAATATAATGTTAAAATAGTGGATCAAAAAGATTCCAAAAACTAAAAACTAAGACTTCAAGAAATTTATTTCATTGGATATTTCTGCTGTCTTTATGTTGTATATATTTTTCAACGTTAATTATTTAAAAAAAAAATGTAAATATAACGTTGTGATGTTACTGGTTACGTCTCCCTTTAATTCCAAATGAGTTTGTTTCTTTTTGTATTCCATAATGTTGGTGTTCTGCTGCTCATTTTACTTGATGCAAAAAGTTAAGAGTTGTTTCGTTTTTGTTTGGCATTGTTTAAATGTTTATACAAAGCTTTTTGTTTTTTTTTAATTGTACATTTGAAAAGTTTCAAGAGCACTCTTTCTCTCTCTCTCTCTTTTTCTCAAAATGAATCGTTTTAGATTCTCAGAAATCGGCAGATGATTTCGACTGTCATCGACGACTTGATTGGATTTCAAACCAGATGAAACCAAAGTTTAATTGACCGCATAATGAAAAAAAAACGTAATTTAAAATTAAATTTAATTAAAAATTTTCATCTCTCAGTTCATAAATTCAAAATTGCACACATATGAATGAAAAGCGCTTCCATGACAATCTCAAACTGATTATTTTTGGATAGTTTCTGATTTGTATTCAAAACAAACTGTGCTAATAAGAATAAAAAAATCATTTCAATCGCTTAGTTATCAAAAACAAAAAAATTTATCTTTCAGTTCCTAAAATTGTTCATATTTGATAATTGTGAATTTAAATAGTGATAATAAACAGAAAAAAAAAACTATTTAAATTGCCTCAATATCCAAACTAAATTTTTTTATCTCTCAACGATATTTCTAATTTAATAATTTTTTAATGAATTACTACCTGATATTCGGGAAATATAAAGATATTTTGAAATATGTTGAAAGTGTTTAAAGTTTGCATTTGGTTGCCACTTTTATTGATATTTTGGGAAAAAAAATCTAATGAGGTTTTAAGGCTTTGAATTTTTTTAAATTTTCCCAAGGGCCAACAACCATCTTTTGAAGTTTACAGTTTTGAACAGTTGAAATGAACGTGAACCGAACGTAAACGAATATGATTGCAATATTTTTTTTTGCGATCAACTTGAACCGAACACGAACATGAAAATATAATATTTTTCGAACATAAACTGTTCA